ACCACCACCCCGGTCTGCCAGTCCACAGGTACTGCCCCTGATCTCCACGCAACATTGCAGAGGCGTGTCAACCAGGACAGCCCTACAACGTCCAGAGCCTTCAGGAACTCGGGGCGGACCTCATCAACACCAGGGGCTCTGCCACCAAGGAGTTGTTTAACTGCCTCAGTGACCTCGCCCCCGGAAATTGGCGGGTCATCCCCCTCATCCCCAGACTCTGCTTCCTCCTCGGAAGACGTGTCAGTGGGATTAAGGAGGTCCTCGAAGTATTCCTTCCACCGCCTGACAATTTTCTCAGTCGAAGTCAGCAGCACTCCATCCACACAATACACAGTGCAGGTAGAGCACCGCTTTCCCCTCTTGAGTCGCCTGACAGTTTGCCAGAATTTCTTCGAGGCAGTCCGAAAGTCTTTCTCCATGGCCTCTCCGAACTCCTCCCACACCCAAGTTTTTGCTTCAGCCACCAACCGCGCCGCATTCCGCTTGGCCTGTCGGTACCTATCAGCTGCCTCAGGACTCCTTCCTCAACTTGGAGGCTCCCCTTACCTCTGGTGTCCACCATTTGGTTCGGGGAATATCACCATGACAGGCACCAACTACCTTGTGGCCGCAGCTCAGTGCAGCAGCTTCGGCAATGGAGATGCTGAACATGGTCCATTCGGACTCCATGTCCCCAGTCTCCCTCGGAATGCTGTTGAAGCTCTGCCAGAGGTGTGAGTTGAAGATCTTGCGGACCGGAGCCTCTGCTAGGCGTTCCCAGCACACCCTCACTTTACATTTAGGCACACCAGGTCTGTCCTGTGCTGTGTCCTGTGTCCTGATCCAACTCACCACCAGGTGGTGATCAGTTGACAGCTCAGCCCATCTCTTTACCCAGTTGTCTAAAACATATGGCCTCAGGTCTGGTGATACGATTACAAAATTGATCATTGACCTGTGGCCTAGAGTGTCCTGGTGCCACGTACACTTATGGACACTCTTATGTTCGAACATGGTGTTCGTTATGGCCAAACTGTGGTTTGCACAGAAGTCCAATAACAAAACACTGCTCTGGTTCAGATCCGGGAGGCCGTTCCTCCCAATCACACCCTTCCAGATCTTGCTGTCATTGCCCACATGAGCATTGAAGTCTCCCAGTAGAACAACGGAGTCCCTATGAGGAGCACCCTCCAGTGCCCCACCCAGGGACTCCAAGAAGGCTGGGTACTCTGAACTGCCGCTTGGCGTATAAGCACAGACGACGGTCAGGACCCATTCCCTGACCCGAAGGCGAAGGGAACAAACCCTCTCATCCACTGGGAGAAACCCCAACATACCAGCAGCAAGCTGAGGGGATACAGAGATACCCACCCCGGCCCGCCGCCTCTCACCATGGGCAACTCCAGACTGAGACAGAGCCCAGCTTCTATCCAAGAGGCTGGTTCCAGAGCCCAGGCCATGCATTTAGGCGAGCCCGTATATATCTAGCCAGTACCTCTCAACCTCATGCACTAGCTCAGGCTCCTTCCCCATTCCATGTCCCAGTTGCCAGTCTTGGTAGCCAGGGTTCGGTCTGTCAGGACCTCCGCTCCTGGCCGCCGTCCGCTCACATTGAACCCGACCCGACGGTGCCTCCTGCGGGTGGTGGGCCTGCAGGAAGATGGGCCCATGTCCCTTTTTTCGGCTGTGCCCGACCAGGCCCCATGGACCAAGTCCCGGCCACCAGACGCTTGCTCTCGGGCACCCTCCCTGGGCCTGGCTCCAGGGCGAGGCCCCGGTAACCCTATCCCGGGCAGGGTGAACTGTTCCTACGATGGTCTTTTCATAGGGGTCTTCTGAATCGCTCTTTGAGTTGTCATAGCAGCAAATATACAACAAACAACAAGCACTCATATAAAATGAGTTATAATGGATAAAGACTAAGATAAATGGATAAATATTGAGATATAGGTATAACTATGAATATAAAAGGACAACTATTTGTGCAACTATGTAGTGGTATTAAAAAGTGACACGGTGCATTAAAGTTTGATTAATTCTGTTCCACATGTGTGGGTCTGACCCAAGTGGAAGAATTACAGAGTCTGATAACAGCAGGAAGGAATGATCTCCTGTAACGTTCCATCAGACAGCAAGGTTGAAGGAACCTATTGCTAAAACTGCTCTTCAAGTCGTCCAGTGTGTTATGGATGGGGTGGGTTTCATTGTCCATGATTGCCAGCAGTCTTGTCAGCATTCTGTTACTGATCACCTCCTCCAGGGTGGCGAGCTTTATGCCAACAAGAGATTCGGCCTTCCTGATGAGTTTGTTCAGTCTGTTTGCATCCTTTGCTTTGATTCCTGCACCCCAGCATTTTTGAAATATCCTCATTAAAAAGAAAAGCAAAAGTTAAAAAAAAGGTTCCATCCATCCATCCATCCATCTTCATCCGCTTTATCCGAGGCCGGGTCACGGGGGCAGCAGCCTAAGCAGAGAGGCCCAGACCTCCCTTTCCCCAGCCATCTCCTCCAGCTTATCCGGGAACCATGGCCTCAGATTTGGAGGTGCTGATCCTCATTCCCGCTGCTTCACACTCGGCTGCGAACCGTTCCAGTGCGAGCTGGAGGCCCTCACCCGATGAAGCCAACAGAACCACATCATCGCAAAAATCAGAGATGAGATTCTGAGGCCACCAAAGCGAAAGCCCTCCGCCACTTGGCTGCGCCTAGAAATCCTGTCCATAAAAATTATGAACAGAACCGGAGACAAAGGGCAGCCCTGGCGAGCCCATCACCCACCGGGAACGAGTCCGACTTATTGCCGGCAATGCGAACCAAGCTCTTGCAACGGTTGTATAGGGATCGAATGGCCCGTAGCAATGGGCCAGACACCCCATACTCCCGCAACACCTCCCACAGGACACCCCGAGGGACACGGTCGAATGCCTTCTCCAAGTCCACAAAACACATGTAGACTGGTTGGGCAAACTCCCATGCACCCTCAAGTATCCTCGAGAGGATAAAGAGCTGGTCCAGTGTTCCGCGACCAGGACGAAAACCGCATTGTTCCTCCTGTATCCGAGGTTCGACTAGCGGACGAACTCTCCTTTCCAGCACCCTGGCATAGACTTTCCCAGGGAGGCTGAGGAGTGTGATCCCCCTGTAGTTGGAACACACCCTCCGGTCCCCCTTCTTAAAGATGGGGACCACCACCCCGGTCTGCCAGTCCACGGGTACTGCCCCTGATCTCCACGCAACATTGCAGAGGCGTGTCAACCAGGACAGCCCTACAACGTCCAGAGCCTTCAGGAACTCGGGGCGGACCTCATCAACACCAGGGGCTCTGCCACCAAGGAGTTGTTTAACTGCCTCAGTGACCTCGCCCCCGGAAATTGGCGGGTCATTCCCCTCATCCCCAGACTCTGCTTCCTCCTCGGAAGACGTGTCAGTGGGATTAAGGAGGTCCTCGAAGTATTCCTTCCACCGCCTGACAATTTTCTCAGTCGACGTCAGCAGCGCTCCGCCAGCACTATACACAGTGCAGGTAGAGCACCGCTTTCCCCTCCTGAGACGCCTGACGGTTTGCCAGAATCTCTTCGAGGCAGTCCGAAAGTCTTTTTCCATGGCCTCTCCGAACTCCTCCCACACCCGAGTTTTTGCTTCAGCCACTGCCCGAGCCGCATTCCGCTTGGCCTGTCGATACCTGTCGGCTGCCTCCGGAGTCCCACAGGCTAACCAAGCCCGATAGGACTCCTTCTTCAGCCTGGTGGCTCCCTTCACCTCTGGTGTCCACCATTTGGTTCGGGGATTACCACCACGGCAGGCACCAACCACCTTGCGGCCGCAGCTCAATGCAGCAGCTTCGGCAATGGAGACGCTGAACATGGTCCATTCGGACTCAATGTCCCCAGTCTCCCTCGGAATGCTGTTGAAGCTCTGCCGGAGGTGTGCGTTGAAGATATCGCGGACTGGGGCTTCTGCTAGACGTTCCCAGCACACCCTCACTACGCGTTTAGGTGCACAAGGTCTGTCCAGCGTCCTCCCCCGCCACCTGATCCAACTCACCACCAGGTGGTGATCAGTCGACAGCTCAGCCCCTCTCTTTACCCGAGTGTCCAGAACATATGGTTGCATATTTCAAATATTTTTTAATCTTCTTTATCTTCATCTTCTTTATCTTGTAATATTTTTCATTATCAATTCAATTATTTTTCCTTGCCATTGCCCTTGGTCTGGAGCTCCATTCAAGATCTTGGCTCATTGGGTGAGGATGATCATGAAAAACGTGGTTGATCTACCCAAAACTAAAGGAGGTGATTCGAGAATGACTTTATGTAAGCCACCGCTCCTCCATTTCGAAAGGAGCCAGTTGAGCTGGTTTGAGCATAAGAATGCCTCATTGACACCTGGTAGGTGGTGTGTTTCAGGTATGTCCTACTTAGGGTTACCCTAACCCAGGGCTTACTGGAGACAAATGATCTGTCAGCTGGCTTGGAAGTGACTTGATGTGGAAGTTGGAAGAGTTGGCCGGGGTAAGGGACTTCTATATTTAGACTGCTGCCCCCTGTGACCCAAACTTGGATACGTGGCAGAAATGGATGGATAAAAAATACTTAATTATTGTACACATGTCCTTCTAGAATTTACCAAATGTTTAAATGCCTTCTATTTAAGGATTTTAAATAGAAGGCTGTATAAACTATATAATGATGGTAAGTATTTATAGCAACAATATGAGCTCAGAAAGTAGAGCAGGTGATCCAATCGCTATAAGGCATTTCCCAGCCTCTCACAATCCGCACAAGACCTCCAACTGGTCAGTGCATTTGGCGGTGTGTAAGAGTGATTCGTTATCGATTGTAGGTATAGAATAAAATAAATGAAGTGTTGTGTGAAAAGGCAAATTTCGCTTATTGCTTTAAGGAGTCAATATGATTAGTAAAGCAATTTATAATCTCCCAGTTTGTTAACATTTTGAAATTCCAACCCATTACAAATGTCTATAATTATCTTCTCTTCCCCTTTCCCTTTCTCTTATTCAGGTGCCATTTTAGTTGCCCAGCCTCTTGATTATGAGACCTGCAGAGATTACTTCCTGACAGTAGAGGCTCGTGATGGTGGCACGCCCTCTTTGAGTGCCATTACTACTGTGAACATAGACCTAACAGATGTAAATGACAATCCACCCATGTTTAGCCGCAGTGTCTACACTGCAGTGGTGTCAGAGGATGCCACTGTTGGCGAGCCTATTGTTCAGGTACGTTTAAAGAATTAGTCAGGTTTTCGCTGCATGTATGTCTGAAGTAGTCGACTAGTCACTAATTGCAACTAGACTAATTTAATAGTTGACACGTCGTTTGAAGTTTTGTAAGATCCTGAAAGACACAGGAATAAGTAGTAGGATTGAAGAGTGTAATAACGCACTGAAACGGAAGATGGCAGCAATGCATGTACAAGGATGCAGGCTGCCAATGAACGCTAAAGAAGAAGAAGCAGTCTCTGGTATCGTAGCTGTGTCCAAATTTAGGGGCTGCATCCATCGGAGGCTGCATTTGTAGGCCGATTACATTACAGCAGGGGTAGGCAACCTTTCTGATAACGAGTGCCACCTAAAATTTCCTCAAAAGTCAATGTGCCATATGATTGCATTAGCAATAAATTTAATAACGCTCTATATCAACAGTTACTATAAAGTTGTTCTATATAGTGTGTATTATATTTGTTCACATATGTTGGCAGCTATCAGCGAATAGTTATCAGCTATTTTGCAACAAAAAAAGGACACTTTTTATCCATAACAAGAACTCCATAACAGCAAATGAACTGTACAACAGAAAATCCAAATGCTATTTATGGTCTTCTCACAACTATGATAAGAAAAATAAACTGGGCCAATATGGCATGTTTGTTAATACAAGGATACACGTTAATGTGATATCAGGTCTCCCACTCAGAGACACAGGTCTCAGAGTATAGGCGCAAGTATAACTTGTCAGGTAGTGATGTCCAGCAGGTGAAAATGCAAGCTCCATGAACACGCACAGCTATGTTATTTGTCTCTCAGAAGCAGTTCATAACTTGCCTTCAACTCATTCATGTCACCTAAAAGTTAAACCTGTTTCTCCATCACAGCTCTGATGATTCAGTAAGGACATCTCCTGGTTTCATCTTCATGTTTCGCTCTCACCAGATAACCAAACCGATATCATGACCAGCAGCTTTACAGCTGTGGCTCCAGCAAACATCAGCTGATACTAGAAAGTAATATTAAATAAATTCTAACAACAGCTGATCAAGCTTAAACGTGCTGCCGTTGTTTAGCGCGACATCTGCTGGTTTCCTCTTTCTGGCGCAAAGTGGGAGATAAACAAACAAGAGAGACGGGACTTCCGACAGAAAAGACGATCAGTTGATCATTGATCAGTTTAATAATTGAAGTAGCAACAGGAGAGGAAGGGGGTGAGAATGAGAGAAGAAGAGGCAGCTGCAGCGTAAAGACGCCGAATAACTCCAGCTTTGTGTCTTTTTCATTGTAGCTGAAGTACGAGACAAACTGCATTCCTTTTCACCTCAATACGAAATATTTTCTCTGAATATGAGACGATTCCGTTTTTTAGGGGATGGTTGGCAACTCTAATAATTAACCTTATGAAGAAAATAAAGTTCACTATAACATCATAGCACCCACCCAGCCTGTATAGAAGCGCCGTCATGCTAGCTAGCACCCAGTACGAAAAAGTCAGCATAATGAAAATAAACTAAACCTAAACTTGGTTTATATCTGACCCAGATAGACTGCAGTTCATAACTTCTTACCTGAAGTTCAGTTCACCTGACACTCAGACGGCGTCCGCCTCGGGCCGCCTTGTACTTTCCCTCATCCACCTGCTGGCCTCCACCACTTGCTAATGTTACAGAATCTGTGAAAGCTCCGCGATAGCCACCACACGAAGTAACAAATAACGACCCTATCTAAATCCCAGTAACTATTAACGCATTCCTGATTTTGGCATAATAACTAGTTACCGTGCTCTTTACCACAATAAAAACGTACTTACTGTAACGCGTACTTAATATTCATGCTAGCATGCTCATCTTCTTGTGCTGAGACTACCGTCTTTGTACTCCCAGACATACTGTTTAAAAGAGAAGTTGTCAAATCAAGTATTTATTTGAATTTTAGGGGGAAATTCTGCTCTACTATCGGGAGTTCAGGTTTAGTCAGCCATCTCGCTCTAATGCCGACTGGAAGCCACAAAGCAGCTGTTCAAACGTCATCAGCCAGAAAACTGCCCTTTTGAGACGTTCCCACTCTGAATAGTGAGAGATGAGCTTGTTTAGTGGATTTTAATGCACTTCTGTAACATCCATACTCATTACCTGTTTGATTTTTTCTGTATTTATCTAATGATTTTGAAAGGACGCTGTTTTTCACAGTATAGAATATCGTATAGTATATACTGTATATACACATATACAGTATATACATGGCTTTTGGAAGCCACTACTAGTATGAAAAGAGGAGTTTTTGCTAATTTAAGGTGGCTTTTCATTTGCACCTTGTGATACACTGCAAATCTGCTTCCCTTTGGCCAGGGTGCTCTGTTCATTCTCACATTTACATATGATTTTGCTTCATCAGCATCCTTAATGGTGCCAAACAAAGGATCTGCAGCTGTTTTCGCTTGTCTGTTTATGAATCTGATCAGATCTGTACACTTTACTCTCCTTCTACTTGTTTCTTGAATGTCAAAGGCAGAACTGCACATTTCTCTCATTTTATATGGCAGCTTCGACACAATAACTCTGAGATTAGTGGAGTTCTCAATCTTTTGTAGGTGACTGATGTCTTGTTACTACCACTGAGAAACAGGGAATAGCTACGAAGAGCCTTTCCATCATCTGGTTTAATGTGTGGCTAGTTGAATGCTTGGTTCATGTTGGCAGTTGCACTTCTCATTTCTTTACTATAATGATTAAACAGCAAACTTCTGGCCTCACTGTAGGCTTCCTGAGGATTTATGTGCTGGCAACGTCTTACCAAATCTCTGGGTTTAACTCCAATAAACTGTTCAAGGTAATGCAAACTGTCACTGCCCTGGACACCTTGATAGGAGTCACTGAGGTGGCTTGAAGCTGGAGGGTACCACTCCTGACTCCAGCGAACAGTTGATGTCAACTGTAAGAGGGCACAGAGCAGGTAGACATGCTCTGACCAATGTTGTCTGCATGGGGTCCAGGGTGCATGTGGAGGATGTGGACTGAAAGACCCACTTGGTGACCTGGGAATAATTCACAGACGAAAAAGAGGAGAAGTAGCATGGAGTTAGATGTGCTACGGGGAATGCCGTCCTGAAATTGATGTGCAGGTGCCAGAAGCTATTGATGAATGGAGTTAATTTTTCTTGGAAAAAGTCCAAAAACTTATTGCAGAGGTCAGTGGCACCTGAAAAGAGAGGTGGATTAATGGGGTGAAGTAGTTGGTTGATGGTGGAGAACACCAATCTGGGATGATTTTGCTGTTGGTGAGTGAGGGAAGAGTAATAATGAGTCTTGGCCTGAGAGAGCTGCTTAATAGGACCTCACATGGTCTTTATATGCCTCAAGGTGGACAGTGAGATCAGACCTTTTGTAGAGCCTCTCAAGTCGGTGGCCAGTGGTCTTTAGGTCACAGAGATGCGAGGTGAACCACGAGGCAGGGAAGGTAAAAGAGGCGGCCCGAGTTTTATGGGGGACAAGACAGTTGAGGCTGCTAGATATGGCCGCATTATAATGGTTAACAAGTGTGTCAACCATGTTGATGGGTGGGTCTGAAGCCAAGTGGTTTGCGATCAGATTGTTCAGGGCCAATGTACTGACAGCCTTAAACTTCCTGTATGGTATGCAATGGTACATTAAGTGCGCAGCCTAGGTACAGAAACAATAACAGAAAAGTACACACCAAGATAGTCAGAAACAGCAAGGTTCAAGCACTTCAGATTGGAAGTGGTAGTGTCGGAGGAGATAACTAGATCCAGCGTGTGACAACAACAACAATAGCAACAAACTTTATTTATATAGCACATTTAAAAACCAGTGGTGTACGAAAGTGCTTAACAAGAGGGTAAGATGAAGTAACAGGGAAGGATGAAAGCTATGGCAAAGTACCAAACATGCTAGCAGGTTAAATGGCATTAAAAACACAGAAGCAAAAGAAATGCATATAAAAGCATAAAAGGACAATATGTGTAAAGGATAAAACAGTCAAAAATGTAAAAAATGATTAAAATAGTTAAGAATAGACCGAAGATAGAAATAAGCATTAAACTAACTAACAAACAAGCATTAAATGGTAGAAAAGGCGAGGCTAAATAAGTGGGTTTTTAACCACAATTTGAAGGATTGAATGGAATCAGACTCGTGGATAACAATGGGGATGTTATTCCATAGAACGGGTGCAGCCAAGGCAAACGCTCGGTCACCTCTATAGTCTTCAGCCGGGATCTCGGCTGTACCAAAAGTGACTGAGAAGATGATCTTACTTGGCGCTATATTGTTAATAACTTGTAAGGTGAGCAGCAGGATTTTGAATTGAATGCGATACTTAATGGGAAGCCAATGCAAGTCGGCAAGGACAGGGGCGATAGAGACACGCCGCCCACTACCAGTAAGGAGACGAGCGGCCTCATTCTGAACAATTCGCAGTCTATGGAGAAGAGTAGAGTTAAGACCAAAGTAAAGGGAGTTGCAATAATCCAACCTAAATTTCACAAAGGCATGGATAAGCTTTTCCAGGTCTCTATGCGGGACATAATGTCTGGCCTTGCTAATAAGACGCAATTGATGGAAGCAAGTTTTGACAACAGAAGACACTTGTTTGTTGAGATTAAAAGAGCTATCCAAAACCCCCCCCAGGTCACTAAGAGTGTCGGTGAGGAAACTATCAAAGGAACCAGAGGCACCACAGAGTTGGCCACGAGGAATACTACTGTCAAACACGATGACTTCAGTTTTCCTGTCATTTAGGATGAGAGAGTTGCCTGCGAGCCAATTTTTGACCTTGCGCATGCACTTACGAAAACCGTGCAAAGACATAAAAAGTCCCACCTAACTCAGAGGTAACAGATGATCCTTTTAATATACTATGTGAAAGAGAGAGTCCAGAAGTCACAGAAGTGTCATTGGCGGACAAAGACCTACTGGAGTCGACATACAGTAAATGTTTAAGTCACCAATTAGGAGTGAGGCTGGAGACAAAGAGCAAAGAGAGGTGAAAATCTCAGACAACTATGACATGACCACAGTACAAACTTTATGGGGGTGGTAGATGAAGATAACCTGGAGCTGTGTTGGCACAGCCAGGGTGACATTAAAACACTCATAATAGGTAACACGCTGGATCTAGTTTTCTCCACCAACACTTCCACTTCCAATCTGAAATGCCTGAACCTTGCTGTTTCTGACCATCTTTCAGTCCACATCCTCCACATGCACCTTGGACCCTTCAAAGGAAGTCCAACCTGCTGTCAGTAACGGTATGGTGGATTAGCATTGTTTTATTGTTGAGCATTCAACGGCATGAAAGATGCACTGTTTGTAGCTGATGATGAGACGGATGTGGAGGAAATGGTGCTGTCGATGCAAGCAACGTGTCTTAAGCTGCTCAACTAGTGGTAGTGGTAGTGTCATTGTTGTTGA